GTACTCGGGGCGTGTCACAGCCTGCTGTGCCTTGGCCTCCCCTGAATCCTCTGAGCGGGTTTAGGCCCTTGTGGCCTCCCTGCAGCCGCCCCCTGCCCGGGACAGGCCTGAAGCTCTTGGTCTTGTGTTCAGCGGCAGGCAGGCCCCCTGGTCTGTGCACAGAGCTCGCTCCCTCTCCTGGCCCCTTGTCCTTCCCCGTGTGTTGCCCTGTCCACCTCAGTGTGAGCGAGGCGGTGTGTGTGTCCCTTTGTCCCCGTTAGGAATAGAGCAGAGTAGCTTAGGCTTCCCAGGAGAGGAAGAGGAGCTGTGTGACTCAGCCAGGGGTGCCCTGTCACAGCGCGGGCAGAGACAGAGCCCGGCCTGGCCCTTTGCTCCTGAGGACAGAGCGAAGCCGCTTAGTGGCGGCGCGGGCTGCGGGCCCCGCCTGTAGCCAGGCCTGGGGCTGTGCCCGTGCTGCGGGGCTGCCTGTCCTGTCCCGCTGGTGACCTGCCAGCGTGCCTGGCCTGCCCTCGCAGCAGGCAGCAGCTCCAGCCCCCTGTAAGCAGGGGTGCAGCCTCTTTGGCAGCTGCTTTGCGAGCCCAGCTTTGTTTGCCCAGAGGACCTCGCTGCCACTGTCACCAGTGCCAGACCTGCGGCCAACGATGAGGTGAGACCGCCTGGACTTGCAGGCTTTGCTGTTGGTGAGGGGTCTGGGGGTGTTTCGGTGGTGGTTTGCAGAGTTCCCTCTGGGGCTCTTGGGTGCCCTTTCCCTTCAGTTCTTGGAGCTGGAGCTTCTCAGGCCTAACTGTGTCCTCCTTGCTTGGCAGAAGGCATCGAGGGAGAAAGAAGAGACGGCGTGGCAAGAGGATCGGACGCTTCGTGGTCAAGAGTGGAACGGCGTGGCAAGACAACGGAGCAAGAGGATCAGCAGCTTCGTGGTCAAGAAGGTGGCACGAGGGACCCTCTGGGCATAGCATCCCTGGTATTTCCAGGACGCAGATTCCTAAGAGTCTGCTGGGCACCTTCACGGTTCCCTGTTTTGTGCTGGGCGACCTCCCTGTAACCAGGGCTGGGTCTTTGCGTTGCAGCCGTTTTTGCCATTGGGCTGCTTTGGCTGGCCAGAGAGGGGCAGCCCTGTAAGGAGGGTGAGAGCCCCGGTATCCAAAAACAAGAAGGCAAATGCAGCTCCCCCAGATCAGCTGTGAGTGGGGAAGGGCCTTTTCCCCGTCCCTGGCAGCTTTCAGTCTTCTGGGTTGAGCCACAAAGGGAACAGGGGAAGAAGGGCCTGAAGCATACAACACTGGCATGGGACAAGCTGTGCTTGGAGGCTTTGGAGCAGGCTGGGGGGGATGTGTGGCCCACTGGTGGTTTGCAGAGTTCCCTCTGGGGCTCTTGGGTGCCCTTTCCCTTCAGTTCTTGGAGCTCCTCAGGCCTAACTGTGTCCTCCTTGCTTGGCAGAAGGCGTCGAGGGAGAAAGAAGAGACGGCGTGGCAAGAGGATCGGACGCTTCGAGGTCAAGAGTGGAACGGCGTGGCAAGACAACGGAGCAAGAGGATCAGCAGCTTCGTGGTCAAGAAGAGGTGGCACGAGGGACCCTCTGGGCATAGCATCCCTGGTATTTCCAGGGCGCAGATTCCTAAGAGTCTGCTGGGCACCTTCACGGTTCCCTGTTTTGTGCTGGGCGACCTCCCTGTAACCAGGGCTGGGTCTTTGCGTTGCAGCCGTTGGCCTTTTGCCATTGGGCTGCTTTTGCTGGCCAGAGAGAGGGGCAGCCCTGTAAGGAGGGTGAGAGCCCCGGTCTCTGCAGCCAAGGGGGGAAGTGGAGCACCCCCAGGCCGCCCTTTAAGCAGGGCTGGGCCTTTTCCCCTGGTCCATGGCTTTGTGCCCCTGGCCAGCATGTGAGCCCTGTACTCGGGGCGTGTCACAGCCTGCTGTGCCTTGGCCTCCCCTGAATCCTCTGAGCGGGTTTAGGCCCTTGTGGCCTCCCTGCAGCCGCCCCCTGCCCGGGACAGGCCTGAAGCTCTTGGTCTTGTGTTCAGCGGCAGGCAGGCCCCCTGGTCTGTGCACAGAGCTCGCTCCCTCTCCTGGCCCCTTGTCCTTCCCCGTGTGTTGCCCTGTCCACCTCAGTGTGAGCGAGGCGGTGTGTGTGTCCCTTTGTCCCCGTTAGGAATAGAGCAGAGTAGCTTAGGCTTCCCAGGAGAGGAAGAGGAGCTGTGTGACTCAGCCAGGGGTGCCCTGTCACAGCGCGGGCAGAGACAGAGCCCGGCCTGGCCCTTTGCTCCTGAGGACAGAGCGAAGCCGCTTAGTGGCGGCGCGGGCTGCGGGCCCCGCCTGTAGCCAGGCCTGGGGCTGTGCCCGTGCTGCGGGGCTGCCTGTCCTGTCCTGCTGGTGACCTGCCAGCGTGCCTGGCCTGCCCTCGCAGCAGGCAGCAGCTCCAGCCCCCTGTAAGCAGGGGTGCAGCCTCTTTGGCAGCTGCTTTGCGAGCCCAGCTTTGTTTGCCCAGAGGACCTCGCTGCCACTGTCACCAGTGCCAGACCTGCGGCCAACGATGAGGTGAGACCGCCTGGACTTGCAGGCTTTGCTGTTGGTGGGGTTGGTTAGGAGAGAGATTTTTCTATTTGGAAGTTTCTAAGTTCTTTCTGCCCAAGAATTTCCTATGGTGTTTATGGGTGTCATGGGTTCAACAATTGTATTTCTGTCTTTTTGCCCCCTCCTTTAGTGTGTTTGCTCATCGTTAGAGTGATTGTTTTGGTCTTGTCTCTCAACATGTTTTCTGGTTTTTACAGCATAAAACCTCTGTATCTCAGCATTAAAAAAATCTTTTTTTTTTTTTTTTCTTCCAGGAACACCAGCTTTGATTTCTTTTCCTTCAATAAAATACCTTTTTTGTGTCTGGTGTGGTGTTTTTCTTACCCCTTTTTCTCTCATGATTTTGCACTTGTCTTGTGTTTCTTCGACATTTTCCCCTGCAGTTGTTCAATAAAATACCTTTTTTGTGTCTGGTGTGGTCTTACCCCTTTTTCTCTCATGATTTTGCACTTGTCCTGTGTTTCTTTGCCATTTCCCCCTGCAGTTGTTTAATAAAATACCTTTTTTTGTGTCTGGTGTGGTATTTTTCTTACCCCTTTCTCTCTCATGATTTTACACTTGTCCTGTGTTTCTTTGACATTTTCCCCTGCAGTTGTAAATTGTGGTGTCATGAGTTGTTTGTCCAGCTTTGGTGTTCCTAAATGCAGGTTTGTTACCATGTTTTGGTGTCCAGGTAGGTGGATGCTGCAGCTTACATATTATGGGCAGATTTCCCTGAATTACCTGAAAAGAACATGAGAGTGAGTTGTAATCAAGTGCCTGGCAGCATCTCAAACACCTTAGGCAGAAATGTTCTACCAGACGCTGTTTAGCTTCTGCTTTGGAACATGCTCGAGCTCCCTGAGCCACAGGGAGACATTTCTTCCATTAAATACAGACAGGAGGTGTTTGCTCTTTGCAATGAAGACTTGAACATTTAAGGGAGATTTATTAAGTATGTGTTGCCTTTTCTTGTTTATTCCTGGTGTTCTCAGCTGTGAATTCCTCAGCAATAGGAGAGCAATCTCAGCACAACCTGATGTTACTCATGTCTGTCATGCTTCTTTGCAAACTTAAAGAATTTGCAAGTGGCAGGGCCTCCACTGGCTGAGCTTAGGTACAGTAGATAATAATAACTAATAGAAAGGTAAGTAATTGATAATAATTGTAGATAATAAATAATTAATGATAATGGATAGTAAGTGATAGCTCAGAGAGATGAGGACTCACAAGCACAGTTCTTTGAGTGCCTGAGTAAGTTCTCACTGCTACAATCCTGAATTTTTTTTCCACTTACACTTCTTACCTTTTTCTCTCATTGGGATTCTGCTTTCTAAAGCTCAGTGCTGCTTTATCACAGTGCTGTCTATATCCACACTCCTACACTGATACTTCCAAGCAGAGGGTTGGCCTGCACTTAAAAAAACAGGAGTTTTTTTAAGGGTGTGTTTTTCTGTGGCAAAATTGCTCCCCAGGGATGTGAAGTGACCCACTTGCTGTCCCCGAAGGTGACAGTGGAAGGGTTCAGGGACTTGGCTTCCCAGCTCTGCTGTGAGAGCCCAGACACTGGTGGGTTCTGCAGCCAAAGCAGGAGTGAACAGCAAATGGGGGTTGAGCTGCCAGGGTGGCACTTCCACATCTTCAAGCTGCACCCCTGTGCTCCAAACCATTTGTGATTATGGCCTGGCAGGGATCCCCGAGTGCCCATGTACAGCAGAGGAGCCTGCTGCTGATCGGGGTGTGATGCTGAGAAGGGGAACAGCAGGGCTGGCCAAGTGCCTGGAGCAACCACAGCCAGGGGTGTGGGCAGGCAGTGCTGCCTCTTCCAGGCACTCGGCTGTGCTGGGGCAGGAGGGCTCCTCAGAGCAGGAGAAGCCCTTTCTCCCTCACCCCTGCACATGTGCCATTGTCCCTGCTAACAATGGGGAGAGGAGGGAGCGCTGGAGCTGATGACACAAACCCCAGGGCAGGAGCAGCTGCTGGCTGCTCAAGGGAAGCTCTGTGTGTGCAGCCGCTGCCCTGCCAGGGCTCCTGACAGCCTCAGGGCAGGACTGAGCCCTGTGCAGTGCTAGAAGAGGGCAAAACTGTTTTTATTTATCACAGAATCTCCTGAGTTCAGAGTGGTCATTGAGTCCCCAGAGCACAGTCCCAACACTCCCATCCTGTGCATCCGTGAGAGCGTTGTCCAAACTCTCCTGGAGCTCTGGCAGCCTTGGGGCTGTGCCCCACCATCCTCTTCTCTTAATAGCCAACCTAAGTCTCCCCTGGCACAGCTCCAGCCATTTCTTCACTTTGTGTCCCTGGCCATCAAAGAAATCAGTGCTGCCCCTCAGGAGGAAGTTGTAGGTTGTATTTAACTGTAGACTCTATTTAACCTGCCACTCTCCAGAGTTTGGGGCTTTCCAGCTGGCTCAGAGCATAGGGACACCCTGCAGGCAGCTGCTTCCTGTGGTTCCCCTCTGGTGCTATTCCTATGAACCTGCATGGTGGGAGTTAACCATCCAGCCCTAATGGTTCCCTCATAAATAAGGAATGCTAATAAACACTTTCTATTCCTGAAGGCCCAGCAGATCGGAAGAGAATAATCAAGGAAGCCATTTCCACTTTCTGTAACTTGTTAGTCATCTCTCCTGAGACAGAGGGGATAGTTTGGCTGGGGGTGGCACAGCAGAAATGGTGCTGTGCTCCACATCTCTTTTTCTGTCCAGCAGCTTCTCCTTTCCAATGAGAGTATGTTTCCCTAAAACAAAGGGCTTAAGGTTTATCTGGGAATCAGTTCCCTCTTGGGCCTTCCAGTGCTGCACAGCCCATATCAGCCCCCGCAGGTACTCAGCATTTTAAGGGGAGTGAGGGTGCTGGTGTCAGGTGTTCAGCAGGTGGCAGAGGGGAGTTTCACCATCTGAAGTGGCAGCTTTTCCCAATCCCAGCTCTGTCCTAAGAGCCCATGGGATGTGGCACCTTGCGAATAGCTTGGAATACAGCCCCTGTGGCTGCTGGCCCTGCAGGTAAGAAACAGGTCTGCAAACAGCCAGGAGTTACCTGCCAGACCTGCTGGGCTCAGCTGGCAGAGATGCCTCTCCAGCCCCAGGGATCTCTGCTGAGCTCCTGCCACAGCTCAGCAGAGATCAGGTTTGCAGGGCATAGTGCAGAAAGCAGCTCTCCCAAAAAAAAAACAGCCCCTGCCAAGAACTAGCAAGATGTGATAGGAGGCAGTGAGGAGGAGGCTGGAGCAGGCAGCCAAGCACCCTTCCCACTCAGTCTGGAGAGCAGATGGAGCAAACTAAGAGCTCTCTACCTCAGTCAACCTCCTCTTCTAGGCTGAGCTGGCTCCTCGTGTCCTGGCTGGCTCCCACAAGGATTCCTGACTTGTGAAGAGTTTTTCGTGGCCTTGTGCTGGAGGCAGACAGAGATAGTCACCCACTCCTCAGATGGATATCAGGCTCTGGGAACAACAGCTCTGCTTGGGCAGGACAGCTCCACCGCTGGGCTCTTGCCTGGTGGAGCCCAGTGGGCTGGGAAGGCAACAGGTGAAGCAGAGATTTACTGGGGAGGGTCCTACACTGTAGGGAATGTTCAGTGCTGGCAGCCTCCCAGAGAAGCCCCCTCCACAACGCTCCCACTTTGGGGCACTTGTGTGGCTGGCTGTGAGCACAGAGCTGGGAGCTCCAAGGCAGCTGCAGCATACTGTCTGCAGCAAATGGAGGGAAGGGAGGGACGTTCCTGCTGGCAAGTGTGTCAGTGCAGGGCTGGAGCTGTTTGTTCACAGGCACTCCCTAGCCCTGATCACTGTTTGAGATCTTCACTCTCTGGGGCTTCTCTTTATGCAAGACACAGGCACAAAGCAGGTACAGGCTACCACGGCTGGGGCTCTGTGCCAGCCATCTCCTTTGCCAGGCTGATGTGACCCCAGGCCAGTGCTGCAGCAGGAGTCCTGCCTGCCCCTGTTTTCCCTGGCTCTGTGGCGCCTGCAGGAAGCCTAGGAGCACAGTCTCCTCCACCCCTGCTCTGTGCAGCACTGCCACAAAGCCCAGGGGCTTCAGATCTGGGCCGTGCTACATTTAGCATCTGTGGGGCCTCACTGGGCTCCCAAGGGCCATTCTGTCCCTCCAGTCAAGGGCACAGCTCTTCTGCAGCCTCCCTTCCTTGTCCCTCAAAGATGGGGTGGGAAGGGCCTGGGTTTGGCTTAGTGCAGTGAGGAGCAAACCCTTTGCAACCCTCCTGTCTCTGGGGCAAGGGCTGAGCTGTGAGGCAGGTGAGCATCAGACATTCCTTGGGCTGTGATCTCTGCAGCTCCACCACCGATTACCAGATGCTCTCCCCTACTCCTCCATGTTGCAACTCCCCAGCCCTAGTGGTCTTGGGAAGCGTGTCAGGGTCTGTGCACAGCACAGCTGCCCCCAGGTCCTGTTGCCCATGTCCTTATATCACCTCCCCCCCCGTAATTGGCAGTGTGGGAGCGAATGGTTGCTGTGTGGGCATTGTTTTGAGCAGGACCCAGGGTGTGCTGCTGTGCTGTGATTCACGAGCAGGGAGAGACTCTCCAATTCCTGTGTTTGGGATAGGCTGAGGGCAGGGCAGAGATGTTCCTCTTGGGAAGGATGTGCATCCACCTTGCTCATAGAAGAGTGTCTCCTGCAGCAGGACGTCCTTGGGCAAGGCCAGGTTTTAATTGCTGCAGCATCACCAGACACCCGAGTCATGGTGCCCCTCAGAGCCTCTGCTCCCCGCCTGCCTCCTGCAGCTACTGAGTTATTTGGAACAGTAAATTTCCCCCCAGGGACCCCCGCATGTCCTGGCTTTCTCTCCAGAGAGGATCCAGGGGCAGTTTGGCTGCTCTGAGCTCCTAGAGGAGCTGTCTGTGCCGTGCCTCTGCCGGCTGGTCTGTCTGTCCTGCCTCATTCTCTCGCTCCTGCTGGTGTCTGCACTGCTGTGCTGCACTGTGCCTGTTTGGCTGCCTCCTTGTCCCTCTTGCTGTCTGTCTCCCTGACTGACACCTGCCACTGCAAGTACCGCCTGCCCCCCTCTCCACCGGTCCGTCACTATTAGCTTGTCTCCTCCCTTTCCTCTGGCTGCTGTCTGGAGGCCTCTGCATTAGGTGTGACTTGGGTGCTTTTCTCTGGTTTATGGATAGTAGCCAGGCTGCAATCTGCAGCAAAAGAACTATCCAGTCTTTTGCAAGGAGCCTCCTGCAAATACCTAGGCAGGACAGTGGCTGCCAGCACTGCCCAGAAACTGCACACTCACGCCTGCCTCCACAGCACCACAGCCAGAGACTGAAAGGAAGCCCAAAATCTCTTGCAATAGCACTTGAGTCACTGCATGCCTCTAAAAGCCAGTGGTCAGGCCTTGAATTCCCTAGTTCCCTGTGCAATAGCTGGGGTTGAGGCTGGGGATGCGGACGACACACAGCTTGTGGAGATGCGAGGCTAAACGTGAAAAGGCCCCTTGTGTGTGTGTGGTTATATGTGCTGCGCCACATCACAGCTGTGTTTGGACTGAGACCTTGTGCTTGCAGTTTCTCCCCCTGACAACATTGCAGCTTGCCTCGTGTCTCTGTCTTTACCTTGCATCCGCCTGCTCCCAGTGTCGGTATCTCTCCCTGTTTTGCTGTGCCTCTGTTCCCATCCACAGCCAGCCGTGCCAGCCTGAGCCAGCGGTGTGGTGTGTCATTGTGCTGCCACAAGGGTCAGGCCTTTGCCCTCCTCATGGCAGCACACTGGCTGCACACCCAGGGCACCACAGGCCCCCTGGCCAGCTTGGGGGGCTGTCCCCATTTGGGCCAGCACACCTGCAGCCAGAGCCAAGCTTCTGTAGAATTAGCAAAACCCCCTGCACAGCCAGCTTGCAAAACCTCAGCACTCGAGTGTCACCTGGTTTCGAGTTCTGCTGGAGCAGAACATGACTTTTATATCAACTTTCCCAGCGTCAGCCCTTTCAGCAGAGCCCAGCCAGGGGTGTGGGAGGAGGTGTGGGCAGGGCAGGCATCCTTTGTGTCTCTGTGCCTTCCTGGGATACCTCTGGACCCAAACTCCCAGGGAAAATAGCACCCTAATGCTGGCCTCCCTCTGCTGTCATGACCTTGCCAAAGAGCAGGGAAGAGGTCTTGTCCCAGGCTGTTTTCTGGATCCAAAGCTATTTTGCCTGTGCAGAAGTAGTTCTGCTTCTCTCCTTCCCAAAGGTGCTGATAGGAGCCTGTGTGGAGCAAAACCTTGGTTTGTCCTCACTGTCACCAGACCTGGGCCTCAAACTGAAGGTCTGTGTCCAGTGACATCACGGACAGAGCCTGGAGATGTGACACTTAGGGCCACGGCTTAGTGGTGGATTTGGCAGTGCTAGGTTAGCAGTTGGGCTCGATGGTCTTAAAGGTCTTTCCTAAATAAAGTGATTGTGTGGTTCTTTGATTCAGCTGAATGTCCTGCCATTCCCACAATGATTTCCCACACGTGTCACACAGGCCTTTGGTGACTTGGTGCAGAGTGGCCTCTTCGAGCACCCGAGCTGAACTCATTTGGTGGCAGGGGATGATAGCTGCCCCCATCCTCAGCAAAGCCCACGCCAAGCTCCTTTTCCCCTTCCCAACCATCCTCCTTTCCCAGCAAAACACCTCCCACGCTGCTGGGGAGGATGAGGGCTGGCAGCTCTTCCGCAAAATGATGTTCCCATGGCAATGGGGATGTGTCGCCCTTCCTGGGGAACATAAGGGAGGCGAACGGCACCTTCCGCATCAGTGCGCGCCCCTTGTCCGGGGCGGGGGCGTCCGAGTCCCGCAGAGGCAGGGCCCCCCCGCACCGCCCCCCGCCGCAGGGCCGGGGGCCGAGCCTCAGTGACGCCTCCCGGTCCCCATTCGCTGGGTCCGCCCGCCCAGCCCTGCCCAGACTGCGGGAGCGCCGCGCCCACAGCCCGCCGGGCAGCCCCGGACAGCGCCGGCAGCCCCGCAGGCAGCGGGCAGCACCGGACAGCGCCCGCAGGTAGGCACCGAGCGCCCCGCACGCTGCCGGGCCGGGAGCAGCCGCCGGGCTCGGGGCACCGCGCGGGGCTGCGGGGAGGGTCCGCGGCGGTGGCACCGGGGGCATCTCGCTCCTCGCCCGGGGGATGCTCGGCCGGCCGGAGCGCGCTGGAGGAGGGGACGGGCTCAGCTTCACCCGGTGTCGATGCCCCCCACCCTCGGCTCGGGACTGCGGCATTCCCGGGGGCGCGCACGCCCGCACCGCAGCCGCGCTCCCGCTCCGCGTTGCCGCAGGGGGGGAGCTCGCCCACCCCGAGCCCTCCTGCCCCTCTCGAGGGTCGCCCCGTCGCTGTTCCCTGCGCGTCCCCCTGCACCCCCTTTGCTTGCAGCCACCCCCCGACACAGCCAGGCTCCTGCGGCTCTGCGTTTCCCTCAGCCCACCAGCCTGGCTCTGCACGCCCCCGTCCCCGCAGTTCGTTTGTCACCGTGAGCCTGTCACGCTGGTGGGCACAGGGGGTAGGTACCGCCGTGGGGTGACCCCGAGCAGGCGGGGAACGCACCAGGAACTCTGCCCTGTAAGAGCTGGAGCCCCTCGAATGCCGCCGTCCTCCTGAGCCCTGTCCCTACGCCAAACCCCTGGGATCATGCGGGAGTTACCTGGCTTGCTCTGCTCCCAGCATCGCTGCCAGGAAAAGAGGGGTCCAAGGGCTAACAAGCCAGAGCCTAGAAAATCAGAGAGTTTGGGCACATAGATGGGAGGAAGACCCCCTCTCTGGGAGCTTTTTTGCACTGATTTTCTGGAGGAAAGCCAGGCTATGACCTAGATAGCGTCCCAGGACATTCGAAAAGGAGCAGGTTGGACAAATGACAAAGGAAGGCACAGGGGGACAGTTTCTAGGAATCCAGAGGTTCAAGCATTTACCCCATTTGCAACCTCTTGTTTGTCAAGATCAAACAGAAATGATTTTTTTCCCCCTGGCCAAGGATTAGGGTTCTGGATAAAGATTTTTCAGAGCTTCAGGGTGAGCAAATGGGTTTGGCATTTCCTCTTAGAATATTATATGAAAAACCAAAAAATTGCTGAAGAGAAAAATGCAGCTGGCTGTGGTACAGGCAATTCCTTGCTCTTCCCTGGATGCTTTACCAAGCTCAGAGGGAGCAAACTGAGGGTCTCTTGTCCCCTCTGCCAGCCTGGAGTCACGAAGGGCTGGTTTATCAGCTCCCCCTCTTGGACCTGGCCCCACAAGGCCAGCCTGGAGGGCTGACTGCAGGTTTGGTGTGTCCTTCAGCCGGGCGGTTGCCTCGCTGCTCCCCCACCCTCCATTCCGCATGTCTGTAGCTGGATTCCCCACGAGGCTGCTTGGCCAGGCTGCAAACCCTTAATTGATTCCTTGTGGCTGCTTTGGGCCGATGGGAATCAGCAGCCCTGGTGTTTGGATGGCACATCACGGGCCCCTTACCCACACACACAGCCTGGAGAGAGACAGGCACCGGGCAGGGACCCAGAAAGTGGATGCTGCCACCCAAACCCCTTCCACCCCGTGGCCAGGCAGGCTGAGCTCAGCTCCTGGAGGCTTCATGCCATCCTTTGGCGGTCTTGGCTCCCTGTCCAGCTGCTGTGTCCCTCTTCCTCGCTGCTCTTGGCCCCTTTCCCTCACTGCATCGCAATGACTCATCCTTGCTGAGCTCACCCGCTGGAGCTGCGGGAGGACTGGCAGGGCGGGCGCCCACCGGCCCCAAACGAGGGTCCCTCACCTGGCAGCCCCCTCACTGTGAGGCACAGACCTCTGGTCAAGGTGTGCAGGCACTGGGGGGCAGCCTGGCTTCACCTGTCCGAACCTTGGCTGGCCATGGGGAAAAAGGGGGAGGAGGCAGGATGTGCAGATCTTGCTGCAGGTCTGGCCACGCTCATTTAATGTCTGCTGGGGGGATCTGCACCGGGAAAACCAAGTGTGGATGGGGCATTGCCTGGGGATGTGCAAAGGTGATGCTGGGCAGACACACAGTGCCTGATTCCCCAGCTGGGTGCAGTGCCAGCCAGGCTCTGTGCAGTGAATCAGACCCTGGTGAGCAGGAGCAGACTCTAGAGCATCATTTGTGCAAGAAGGGCAGCCTGCACCACCGAGTGCCCACATCCATGGGGCAGTGGCCCGGCTAACTGCCTCTCTCTCCCCCTGCCCAGGTTCCCCTCTCAGAGACAGCCCCCACCGGGCACCTCAGCAGCGAGATGAACCCCACCGTGGGCATCGCTGTCATCCTGACAGGTACAACCCTCCCTGCTCCCTGCTGGGCCCAGAGCAGCCTGGAGGCTGCACGGGCATCCCCAGAGCTCGCTGTTCCCTGTCCAACCCCCTCCTGCCTCTCCCAGTCCTCCAGGCCGCCCACTGCCAGATGATCAAGGACCTGAGTGCCTGCTTGCTGGGCCAGAACCTGCGCGTGGACTGTCGCTATGAGAACAAAACCGACAACCCCCTGACCTACGAGTTCAGCATCACCAAGGACAACAGGAAGCACGTCATCCACAGCACCATCAGCGTCTCCGAGAACATCTACCGGAGCCGAGCCAACGTCACCATGCACAAGAACCTGGTGTGCCTCCACCTGCAGAGCTTCACCACCAGCGATGAGGGCATCTACATGTGCGAGCTGAAGGCCACCAACGACTACACCGGCAACCAGATAAAGAACATCACTGTTATCAAAGGTGAGACCTGGCCTCAGCCCTTCCCACCTGCTCCTTGGCTTGGCAGGGCCAGCAGAGAACACCACAACTCTCTGGTGTCCCCAGATCCTCCCTGATCTCCATAAATGTGTTCCAAGCCTTACACACCCTTCAGGTGGGCTTCATCCCCCAGATGGGCTCATTCTACCCCATCTCACACTGCTTCTTCTGCCTCTCTTGGGTCCCACCTCAGGCACATTGCCTAGATATCCTCCCATAGAGAGGACAGTGGGCATTCTCCACACCTACATCCCACAGGAGCCCTTTGTCTCACCTGGTGTCACCACTTGTCACTTCAGTCAGGCACAGGCAGGGTTATGCTGCTCAAGAGTCCTAAAAAATCTTTGCTACTACACGTTGGGAGGGAAGCAGGCCAGGATGGGATGTGCTGCACTTCTTTGACAGAGGAAAAGCAAGAAACTGTGCGCCAGTACCATTAGGACACCCAGCCTGAGCCCCGTTCCCGAGGGATTTCATTGCCTCTTCTCTCCCTCCCCATTCCTTCTCTTCACAGACAAACTGGAGAAATGCGCTGGCTTCAGCCTCTTGATCCAGAACACCTCGTGGCTCCTGCTGCTGCTCCTTTCCCTGCCTCTCCTGCAAGCCGTGGACTTCGTGTCCCTGTGAAAGGCGAAACACACACACAGCGCTCGCACACACTCGCACGCACACACCGAGCACCCCGGCCACCCCGCCTTCCTTGCAGCCCATGGAAAGAGAAGCTGAAGCGTCTGGAAGCCGTGAAACCTCTCTGTGTTATCTCTATTTAGCCGTATATCTAACGCTAACCACCGTCCCGTGCCGAGGCCCACCATCCCACGCACACACGCCCCGCTCCGAAGCATGGTGGCTCTGCTAGGCAGCGTTGTTGCTTCTCCCATCGCGCCTCCCCGCTCCGTAGGCTGGCTGGTTTGCTTGTGCTGGGAGCACTGGAGGCCTCAGCCTCGCTTGTCCCATCCCTTTAACTCTTGGGGTTTGCCTGTTCTCAGCTGGGGAAAGACAGCTGGATTGGCAGGTAAGAGAGAGGGGTGATGTGAGAGGGTGCCCGTGGTGGGCGCTGTGCAGACAGGGCTCTGCCACCCAGGTGACTGATTCCTCACCCTGCTCCTCTCACCCTGAGCTGCCACGGCTGGGAGAGGGCACAAA